CTGAGCCGAAGGCAGTCGCCTAACCAACTGAGCCACCCAGGCGCCCCAAGTTTTCACTTCTTTTGGGTAAATACCAAGGAGTGAGATTGCTGGATCATAAGGTTAGAGTATGTTTAGTTTTATAAGAAGCCACCAAACTGTTCCAATGTGGCTGTACCATTTTTCATTTCCACCGGTAATGATTGAGAATTCCTGTTGTGCCACATCCTTAATAGCATTCAGTATTGGCGGTTTTCCAGATTTTGGCAATTGTAATAGGTGTGTAGTGGTATCTTGTTTTAATTTGCATTTCCCTGATGACCTATAATGTAAGGCATCTTTTCATATGCTTATTTTGCCATCTGTATATCTTTGGTGAAATGTCTGTTAAGGTCTTTTGCCCATTTTTAAATTGAAGTTTTTTTTATTGAATTTTAAGAGTTCTTTGTATATTTTGGATAACTCCTTTATCAGGTGTTCTGTTTCTGTTTTTTTTATAATGGCCATCCTTACAGAAGTAATACCTGTGGTTTTGATTTACATTTCTCTTGATAAGTGATGTTGTACATCTTTTCATATAACTATTGGCCATTTTTATGTCTGCTTTGGAGAAATGTGTTTAAGTTCTTTGCCCATTTTTTAATTGGCTTGTTTTTTTGCTATTGAATTATAGATGTGCCTTATATATTTTGGATATTAACCCCTTATCAGATATATGGTTTGCATATATTTTCTTCCATTCTATAGGTTGCCTTTTCATTCTGTTTCCTTTGCTGTGCATACAATTTTTAGCTTGATGTCCTACTTGTCTGTTTTTCCTTTTGTTGTCATAGCCAAGAAATCATTGCCAAGACCAATGTCATAAAGCTTTTCTCTTAGGAATGCCACAGTTTTGGATCTTAAATTTATGTATTTAATCCATTTTGAGTTGGTTTTTGCATGATATAAGTGTCCAATTTCATTCTTTTGCATGTGATTATCCATAAATGCTTTTGAACTCCTGTTTATTTTTCAGTTCAGTTATTAGCTTTTTTTTTTTTTTTTCTTTAAGTAGGCTCCATGCCCAATATGGGGCTCAAACTCACGACTCTGAGATCAGGAGTTTCATGGTCTACTGACTGAGCCAGCCAGGGGCCCCAGTTATTACATTCTTTAGCTCCAGAATTTGTTCGGTTCCTTTTAAATATTTTCTGTCCTTTTGTTGAAAATCTCATTTTATTGTTGCATTTTCCTGAGCTCATTGAGCATCTTTATGATGGTTATTTTAAATTCTTTGTCAGGTAACTCATGTATCTCTAATTCTTTTTTTTTTTTTTTTAAAGATTTTATTTATTTATTCATGAGAGACAGAGAGAGGGAGAGAGAGAAGCAGAGGGAGAAGCAGGCTCCCAAGGAGCAGGGAGCCCGATGCGGGACTCGATCCCAGGACCATGACCTGAGCCGAAGGCAGACGCTTAACCGTCTGAGCCACCCAGGCGCCCTGTATCTCTAATTCTTTAGGGTCAGTTTTTGGAGACCCATTTTGTTCCTTTTATTGAGCCGTCTTCCCTGTTTCTTTATGTTCTTTTTTTTTTTTTTTAAAGATTTTATTTATTCATTTTAGACACACAGAGAGAGCGAGCATGAGCAGGGGAGAAGCAGAGGGAGAAGGAGAAGCAGGCTTCCCGCCGAGCCAGGAGCCCAATGTGGGGCTCGATCCCAGGACCCTGGGATCATGATCTGAGCCGAAGGCAGACGTCCAACCATCTGAGCCACCCAGGCGCCCCTCTTTACGTTCTTTTTAATTTTGTGTTTGTATGATTATATTTGAAAAAACACTCCTCTCTCCCAGTCTTTATGGACCTGCTTAGTACAGGGAAAAGCCTTTACCAATCAGCCTGGCTATAGATTCTGGGGGCTTCTCAAACCTTTTCTCTGGATGTGTCTTTTGGATTTATGTGTGTAGATTCCACATTAAAGGAATTTTCCAGTTTCTTTTTTTCAGAAGCTTGTACTCTTGTATCCTTTGGTGTCCATCTGTTGTACTCTGGGTCCTATGAAGTAGCAGCATACCACCCAGCTCTTTTTTGTTCTTGGTGGCCCCTAGGCAGCTAGAGTAGGTTGGATGCTGTCACTGCCCTAGGTCAGTCTAAACAGAAACTAGTCCTTCAGGCAGTCCCCCCAAAAGCTGGAATGTTGGATATTCTTTCTCCCCTGAGGGAGAGGTTGCTGAGCTGTATTGGTTTCTGTTTGTTGTAATATGGATTCTCTGAATCTGCAGCTTGCCACCCAGCTTTTTGTTGTGTTGTCAGCAGGCCTCAGGCACCTAGGGTATGCAAGGTCCTGTCTGTGCTCCAAGATGTTCAGGAAAGAAACTAATTCCTCAGGCAGCGCCTACCCCAAGTCAGAATGTTAGATATAAAGTCCAGTCTTCTCTTTCATCCTTAGGGGGAATTTGGGAGCTGGGAGGTTTTTTTCCTAATTGTGTGTTGCTGTGCCAGGAGGAAGGACTGTGGTGAAAGGGTGACATGAATTTTCCTGCTGGCTTTGATGCAGTTGGTTTAGTGCTCACCTGGTGTGCAGGAGCTTCTTAACTGGTTTCTGAATTTCTCATGATGGGAATTGGTATGTGTATTGTTGTTGAGTTGGTGTTTCTTTGGGAGGAAGGAAAACGTGGGACTTCCTGTTCTGCCATCTTGCTGATGCCACGCCCATCAAGTACCTTCTTAAGTGAAACTGGCTTTTGTTTTGTGAATGATCATGAAAAATAAAATAGTTTGGTGACATCTTACACGGGACTGGCTTTATTCTTTCCTTTGATTTCTTTCTTTTTTTTTTTTTTAAAGGTTGATTTGAGAGAGAGCGAGCGAGCATGCACACGTGGGTTGGGGGAGAGGCAGAGGGGGAGAATCCCAAGCAGACTCTCCACTGACCAGAGAGTCCAATGTGGGGCTCAGTCTCAGAACCCATGAGATCATGACCTGAGCCAAAATCAAGAGTCCGATGCGCAACCAACTGAACCACCCAGGTGTCCCTCTTTCCTTTGATTTCTTGGTCACGGAGAATCAATGAAGCAGTTTGGTGCAAGTGCCTTGATATGTGCTAAGGCGCCAGCAGTCTTTCCTTCCTTTTCTTTTGAACGGTTAGTGCAGGGGCGCCTGGGTGGCTCAGTTGGTTAAGCGTTGGACTCTCGATTTCGGCTCAGGTCATGATCTCTCAGGGTTGTGAGATCGAGCCCCATGTAGGGCTTCAAGCTGGGTGTGGAGCCTGCTGAGAATTCTCTCTCCTCCCTCTGCCCCTTCCCCCTCTAAGGAAAAAAAGAAATGAACTGTTAGTGTAAATGTTAATACTGCAAAAAAGGGAAATGAAGTCTTAGTATTATTATGAATATGGTTTTGACCTTGCAGAACTCTAGAACGTGTCTTGGGGATCAGAGGTTCATGAACCACATTGTCAGAACTGCTACTTTACCAAATTATAACGGTTCCTTTCTGTTCCTATTTTAAGTCTTTTTTAAAAAAGTAGTGAATGGATGTTGAATTTTGTCAAATGTCTTTTATGCATCTGTTGAAGTCGTGTGATTTTTAAAAGTCAGTTTAATGTGGTGAATTAATCTGAACCAACTTTGTGTATTTGGGATAAACCCACATAAGTCTTGATGTATTTCAATATTTCCATTTATCTATATATTTAATACTGTACATGTTTAAATACCACAAGACATATTATTGTTTAAATACCACAAGACATATTATTGTTATCAGTTGATATTCTTTTAGAATCACCCATACACTTGCCACTTTTTCCTCATTTCTTGCTTCAGCTCCAAAGTTCTCTCTGGAATAACTTTTATTCTGCCTAAAAAATGTCCTTAAGTATTTATTTTAGTGTGTGAATCAGTTATTTGTCTGAACTTCAGTCCTTATTTTGCCTTTTCTTGGAACTTGGAACTGTTTTTTGGGTATAGAATTTTAGGTGGGCAAATACTTTGTTGTAGCACTTTGGGTGTATCTTTCAGCTGTCTTTTGCATTCAGTGTTCTGGTTGAGAAGTCCTGAAGATACTGTCTTTTTTCCCTCAGGTGCTTAACTGATTTTATCTTTGGTTTTCT